AGGGGGGGCACCCTTTTTTTGGGGTTTTTTTTTTGAAAAAGGGGGGTTCCCCCCCCCCCCCCCCCCCCGCCCAGCCAACATTGTTGCTGCGGCCATCAGCTCATAGCGCGCGCAATGGTCGATGATGACGGCTGCCTGGGCTGCATAGGTCTTGGCAGGACTAGAGATGAGCATGGAGGAGTTTATTGACATGTGCATTTTGTTGGGTTGTGATTACTGTGACAGCATCAAAGGTATGAGCTTGGCCGAGGCTCTTCCCAGCCTTGGTGACCCAAAGACGAAACCAGGGGCGCTGATACGCACTGCGGCGTTTCACAGGCATTGGTCGGCAAAAGGCGTATCAGCTGATCAAGGAGCACAAGAACATCGAGACCGTTTTGAAGCATCTCGATCCCAAGAAATACGTAATTCCCGAAGATTGGCACTTTGCCGAGGCGCGCGAGCTCTTTCTCCGGCCCGATGTGACACCAGCTGCCGAATGCGAAGTGAGTTTATGACTTTGAATTTTGCTTTGATCATGTCGTTTTTTCGATGTCTGTTGCGTTTGAGAAGCGCAGAGGCTCATTGACTCACCGGCTCAACATCTTCATGCATTGATCCATTCCAGTTCAAATGGACAACGCCTGACATTGACGGTCTGGTTAAATTCATGTGCCAAGAAAACGGGTTTGCGTACGTCTTGCTAACACGAGGCGAAGCCTTTTTTACCCGCGATCTTGTGTTTTCTCAAACTGTGGCTCTATGGGGTGCAACGCTCAATTTGAATGTTTGGTGTATCCGGCACAGCGAGGACCGTATTCGCAAATCTGCCGAAAAGCTGGTCAAGGCTCGCAAGGTTTGTTTGCAAAGCCCGTATCAATCACGGGATGTGTTGAAAATGCAAGTGTCGCTCGATTTCATGGTGTGTTTGGGCAATTTGACAGGGCGGGCAACAAGGACGGCTGGATAGCTTCTTCACTGCCATTCCCAGCGGCTCGGCCAAGCGCAACACGGTTGGTTTGCTGCCCAAGCCGGGCCCGCCGCCCTTCCTGTTTTGAACGGCGCCTCACGTGGTTGGTAATATGGTGCAATTTGCGGGTGAACAGAAGGACAAGAACCAGGGCAAGGGGGCCAAGGGGGCCAAAGGAGCCAAGGATGCGAAGAAGGCCAAGCGCAAATAATGACAACCTCTTGGCTTGTTTCCCAACCGTGGGTGGAAGAGCATGAGGAAAGGGCATTGCCTTTTTTTGCCCTTTTGTGATGTGTGCGTGTGTTGTGCTTTGTTTCGGTCAACGGAGCAGGTTGGGGTGGGGAGGGAGAGCATTGCCACGGCGAAGGATTATGGCTGACGGGTATTTGGACTGCTGTTGGCTCATGCTTGTGTAAAGGTTCAGTGAATCGATTCCATTTTGGAAAAAAAAGGACCGTTTGGACCGAACTAGAAAACGGTGTGGGGGATGGCGCCGCCATCAAGGCACAAGCAAAAAAGAGAACTACTGCACACGGCATGCTACTCTCCAAAATGCATAATCAGAAGGGACAACAATTTACACAGAATGACGCGAAAAAGCCTATTTACGTGATAATGGTAGAGGCTGGAGCCCAACGGGACCTAACCAAAAAAACACCGAACGGCGAGTTGTGGCTGGCCGGCTGGCAAGAGAGGCCTCGTTGGAAGGAGAAAGGCCGGCAGGGGCTTATTGCTGCTGAGCGGGCTTGTCGTCCTTCTTGAGCCCAATGTCCCACGTGCCGTAGATGAGCGAGGCGATGGTGAGGCCCTGGAAGATGACACGTCCGCGCTGGAACGTCTGGCTCAGGCTCTGGTTACCGTTGCGGTAAGCCACAAAGCCACCGGCCAAGCACAGACCCGTTGCACCAATGACTGCGCATGATCACAAAGAGGTGGTGCAAGGTATTGCAAGATGAGTGCAGCTCAAGAAAGTCGGAGCAGAGCGGATGCCAAGTGGTCCAAAAGGGCAGAGGGGGTCAGCGCAAGACTTACAGGCGGGGACGAAGGGGTTCTCCTTCATGAACCGGGCATACTTGTTCTCGGGCTTGACAGGGTTCTCGAGGAAGAGCTGGGCAATCTGTTCGTCCGTGGTCGCGTGCGCCGCCATGTCGTTGTTGTTAGGGCTGGTTGAAAAATCAAAAGCAAGGTGAGGCAGGTTATGGCAGAGATGGAGGCCTTGAGAGAAGACTGTTTGCAGTTGGAGGGCAACTGGAGCTGTTGGAAAAAAAAATGACTCACCTGGCCATGGTTGTGGTACAAAAAGCTGGGCGGGAAAGAATCTTGAAGCAACTCAGGCTGACGACGGCAAAGGGAAAGTGGCAAAAGTGAGTGAGGCACACCAAGGCAGCGAGGAGAGGGGCCGTCGGGTGCGCCGAACACAACAAGGTGTCATCAGTGCCTCAGGACAAGTGGGCCCATCAAAAAACAAGCAGAAAAACCAGACCAGAACCGGTTTAAGAACAAGCAAGTACAATGCATGCGTCAACAACACCGGTCACAGGCAGAGGCCGCATCGGCTGCCGTATCATGCCACTGCCACTGCCATTCCCGCTGCCACTGCACGCACCCAGTCCCCGCACACTCTCTTGCATAAGCTTACCGGTCAATGGAAGAAAAATATCTCTCCTCTCTCTCTCTCTCGTGTACCTTTCTGTCTCTCTCTGTGTCTCTCTCTCTGTCTCCTCTCTCTCTCTGTGTCTCTCACGCACATGCACTGGCTGGTTGCAAGATGGGTGTAAGCGTGGAAGGAGCTTGATGAACTGCATTTGTCAGATAAAATAGGGCTTTGGGACGGTGCAAGACGTAACGGGTATAGTGTATCTGCTGTTACACTATCAAGTAAACGTGACCTTACCCCCATTGCATTCGGGGCAGCATGCGAGCATAATGTGTGTGTGTGTGAAGTTTCATCATGGCGAATTGGGGACATTCTGCAACGTTATGGGACGCAAGTGCATTACATCAGGATTCTTGTGGTGACAAGTTGGGGTGAAGCGCACAGGGCACGAAAGGAGTCGGCATGACCAAATATTTGTCAACTTTTGGTGATGGAAAGTCTTTATAATTTTGGTAACGAGACGACTTCGGAACTGGGCTACTTGGTTGTCGCGACGTGGGGGGCGAGCTGGGCCGCGGACGGCGCCTGCACATATTCCTCCTACACCCCCGCCGATACGCACCGGGCAAGAAAAGGGTAAGGCCAGGTGTAGCGTGGTACAGAGATTGGTTTAAGCAAGTTTTTGTTGCAAGGCTTCGAGCTGCAAACGTACCAGCTTGACACGAGTTGCCACGCCCGGCGGCAAATGGTGTTGCACGTAGGTCAGGTATGTATTCAGCGTGCTGTGGCTCAGGTTGCGCATCTATTCAGCACCATCGCATCAGAGGAGGACCACACAAATGTGTGCGCGTGTGTGTCTGTGAGAGTAAATTTAAGACCAAACAAGGTTCTTCCCAGCTCGTCTCTCCACCTCGCTCAAGATGGTCCACGTGCTGTACCTGGAAAAGACGTGCATGCGTTGCAATATCAAACTAGCCAAGACAGAGCAGCCCCGGCAGCGTGGTGAGAAACCAAGATGGTGCGCAACAGGAGTCAGCAAAAATACCGCCTCCCCTTGCCGCATGAAAACATACCTGGACGCGATGCTGCTTGTACACATGGGGGCTCTTGAGCACAGTCTCGCGGCGCTTATGGGTAGGCAGAGGAATGCTGCGCCTCAGCCCATACAGCCACAAAAGCACCGGATGTGAGAGCCAGGTCAGATTGGATCAGGATAAGGCTTCGAGCGACCCCTGCCCTGTGCTCCAAGCCTTGCCGAGACTTGACCCAAACTGACCGGCCAGTGCAGGAGATGCCCAGTTCGCGGGCTGCGCGCTCCAGGAAAGTGACGTAAGAGTCCAAGACGGCGTGATTGTAACCTTCCATCTACGAGTTGTTCAAACCATGCATGTGAATAGGAATGGTGCTTGGTGGTGGTGGCCAAGATGCGGCCCACCTGCCCATCCCAAATGTGGCGCAGAATGGATTGGAACAAACGTACGCGAATGCTGCACGTGCGGTACTGGGGCTCGTTGATGGTCTTCGGTCCCTTGGACTGAGCGCTCTGCTGCTCAGCAGCAAATGCCGCATACCGGGTCACATCAAACTTGTCGTCGCGGCGCGGACGACGCGAGCGCTGCTGCTGCTGCTTCTTGTTTTGATTTGCATTCTTTGCCTGTTTTTCCGAGCGTCCACCCGTCGACGCCGCCCGCGCTGCCACCATCGTCATTGGAAGCGCGCTAGAGACCCAGAGCACAGAGCAGAGCACCCATCATCAGAAAACATGCGAGATGCGAAGGGAGACAGCCAAAGTCTCTTATCAGACAAGCACGCTTTTATGGGCGGGCAAAAGGCCCAAGTAGAACAGCTAGTAAAACGTACCGCGCCAGAGGCGACCAAGACGTCAACCATGACGCCCGCGCGCCTGCAAAGACCGTCGCTACCGCCGCCGCCATCCTCGTCCGCCGCCGGAGAGAAAGAGAGAGAGAGAGAAGAAAAAAATGAAGAAAAGTGCATGATGGCACAACATCTGTTTTTGCCACCTGTTTAACACCACCCCATCATTGGTAGGTGGTTTCTCCTTGAGCATCATGTACCGAGTTAACCCTCTTAATATCTGCATCAACTCAAGTATGATTTTCTATCAAATCTGCAACATCTCATATTTATGCTACAAGTACGCACCAACTGCTTTTGAGGACAGCAGCAAGGAAAAAAAAAAAAAAACAAAGTCATCGACTCGTTGGTGTGAGATCGGGCTGGATCCCAGGGTGGTCTGCACCTCTTGCCTGCCTCGCCTGCCTGGTGAGGGAGTGAGTGAGTGAGTCAGAGGGGGAGGGAGAGCGGGAGAGAGGGGGAGAGAGGAGGGAAGAGAGAGAGAGGGAGAGGACGATAGTCAGTACGGGCTGTACGCTTGATTGAATCGCCATTGAAGTGTTGGAGCGACGACGACAACGACGAGGGTTGTGATGGAGTCGGTGGCAGCCGAATGCACCGCGCTGAAGCGAGAATACGACGCTTGCTTCCAAACTTGGTACAACACCGTGTTCCTGCAAGGTCGTGTCCAAGGCGCTGCGGATGGCACTGCCAATCGCCCCTGCCCCGAACTCTACCAGCGCTACCACGATTGTCTACAGGTCAGTTCGCCAGAGGCCATCCTGCATCCCCGCGTGCCAACCAACCAGTCCTCTGACAAGCATACTGTCCTGCAATGGGCAGGCGTGGCAGGCCAACAGCGCAGCCGAGGCTGCTGCCCACGGCACCACCACCATTCCAAACATCAACGAGCTCCGCCAGTGAAGCTAGCGCAAGCCCGCCTCGCGCCATGTCACCGTGCCGGCGCACATCAAGCTTACAGCTTGCCTGGCGCTGCCTATTGCTGTGCCTCGTGCTGAGCGCGGCCAGCAGTTCACTGTTTCATTCAGCACCCCAAACCCCTCTCTTTTCAGCGTGGCCTAACCACAATGTGGCCAATCTACACTTCTGGGTTGATCTCTGCTCCAGCAGTCTCGATGGCGTGCGCGCCCACCCACTCTTTCCCAATCGCCCACACGGTGTACACACCGTACGCAAGTTGGACTTGCACTACGCCACTTCTAACTTTGCTCAGCGCATCTTTGGCTTTCTCAACTTTTCGCTCCCCGGTACCTATCAGCTATCACTCAGCTGTCGCGGCTGCTGTCAACTTCGTCTCGCGACCAATGCGCGCCCGGCTGAGAGCCGCTCCGCTGTTCACATCTGCAACAGCAACCGGGACCGGTTTGATGTGGATCGCCAAATCACCGTACGTGGACGTGGTATTGACTTCCTTCTACCCAGTTCCAACGTGTACATGTCCCTTGACGCCCCGTCTTTGCCAATTCTGCATAGACCCTGAATGTCAGCTCCACCGTCCAAGGCAATCTCGTGTACTTTGACCTGCTCCATCAACAGGGCAGCCAAGGTTCCGATCACCTTCAGGTTGGATTGGCTCAACTTCAGTGACACGCTTTTACCTTGCAGGTGCTGCTCTAGATCTGATTCGGTTTTTGTGTCCACGCCCCGCAGCTGGCCTGGCGGGCCAAGTCTTCAGCCACCAGCGTCTTTGCCATTGTCGATCACGAGATGTTGCGGCCTCTGGCTGATCCCTTTCAGCGTTCCGTCCTGCTTGAGTCCGTTGCTGTGATGCCGGCCTGCTTGTGCTACCTGTGCTCGCACTCTTCTCAATTCGCTCCGGGCTTGATTGTTCTCTTTCAGCCCCGACGATGCGCCGTGGCGCACGGCCTGGCAAGAAGATGCAGATGTCATTGATTTTTCCGCCAATGCCGTAGCCACCGCGCTCAATCAGGTCTGTGCTATTCTGCGGCGCCCACGCTTCTCAACCTTGCGCGAACGGCGGAGAAAACAAGAGTGCAAGGCGCACAAAATGCGCACACGTTCGATGACCGTGTTCTTCGTTGATGTGGCCGTCCCTAGTTGAATGCGTCAGCCGTAACCATTCCCCAAGAAGACTGTTCACGGCCGTGGTTACCAAGTGATGCAAGCCCGCGCAAGATGGGGCGCTATCAGGCGGCCTACACGGGCATGTGCCGGTGGTTGTACGTTTCCCTTCGAAGTCGTGATCACACGGCTGCATCGCGTGTCTAGTCCCGCCTGCCATGACATCTGTGCTCCTGTATGCGTGTGGTGTGCCTGCGTCTGTGCGTTTTGAATTGGTATCAGGGCGGTGGCTCCACCGGATGACAGCGGTACAATCGGCAATAGCGTCAACCCTTTGGTCCCGAGCCATGATCTCGCGCGCATTCACAAGGCATGGCCAGCACACCGTTTGACTTGCCTTCCGAACTTTCGAGGGTCGATCTCTTCTCACTCACCCGTCATGGCCCCGTCGTCCTGCCCCTCTTTTTGACTCCCCGGTTTCAACAGCATGTGGCTACTTGGTTAGCGTCCCAGCGGGCAACACTACAGGGTAGCTTGAATGTACGCCTTCGCTCAACCTCGGCCGAAGCATTGGCTACCGTGTACTTTGCCGCGCAGTTTTCCGATTCGAATGGCGTCCAACAACACCGAGCGTCTATCCAGTGGGCCATCAATGATACCGCGCCAGCCTGTTGGACTCCCCGCCTTGCATGGGCAAGCATCAGCATGGTACACATGATCATTCCGGTGCAGAATCAGGGTGGCTGGGTGCTGTACCTGCTGGCCAACCTCGAGGCCATCATGAAGGCCACGCACGGTCGAGAGCGGTTCAACCTGGTGCTCGTTGACTATTACAGCGATGACTTGGACGTTGAGCAAGCGTTGGCCCAGAGCACCTTGCCGCACTGGCAAATTGTCCGAGTGGCAGGTCAATTCTCTCGAGCCGAGGGGGTGCAACGCGGCCTGGATGCTGTCGCAGCCAAGATACAAGCCAACCCACGCGACGAGATTGTCATCTCTAGCGACTTGCACGTGCGCTTTCCTATCGATTTTTTCATGCGCGTGCGCGAGAACACGCTCCGCGGCAAGACTGCCTACAACCCGGTGGTCCTGCGACTGGACTGCGAGCGTTATGCCCAGAATCCACATGGCTACTGGGAAACAGTGGGCTACGGCATCATAGCGCTCTTCCTCAATGACTGGCGCGCCATTGGAGGCATGAACGTACAAGAGTTTCGCTCACAATGGGGTGAGTCTTGCCCTGCGCACGATCACCCGCCCTTTGTTTTTTTGTTTTTTAATGAATAGCTTAGGCCCCTCGTTTGCTGGCCCCTCGTTTGCTCACCCGTTGCTTCTCGGTCTGCCTGCCCGACATCGGCGGGCCCCGGCTGTGCCACCTATGCCTGTTTATTGTTATCGTCTTGACACAGGAGGCGAAGACTGGGAATTGTTTGACCGCATCATCGGTCACGGGCTGGAGTGCGTGCGTGATCGTGTTGAGGGCTTTTATCACTTTTATCACTCCAAGTCAGGCATGTGGGGTGGGCATAATCCTTTGCTGCACCCGCACACATATGGGCTTTGGATGCCCTCGTCCATTGCCACGACGACGTCGGGAAACGTAGAGCAGCCTTTCCTTCTGCGCCTTGCAACCTGCGACTTTATGTGAGCATTTGAATTCGGTTGTTCGTTTGTGATGCAAGCACCTGTTTGTCTCGTCAGGCAGACTCACCTCTCTGGACATGTCTTCTGACTGTGGTTGAGCTTGTTAGGCGGCCCAAAGTTATGTGGCGCTTTCACGAGGATGGTTCGCTGAGATTATTGAACAATCAATCCTGGCTGGTAGCTCTCACGGCCCGCAAGGAGCTTGTGTTGCGACTGGAAGCTTCGCAGACAGCTGGGCCGCGAGACGGGGAAATTTTTACCATGCGCGGCCCCTTACTGCTGGTAAGGGCCTGCAGTGTGCTGTCGCGTTTGTGCTCGACCAACTTTGCGCTCAACTATGGGTTGGTGTCTGCAATTGGCTTTCTCAGGGCCAAGGCAATGCTTGCGTGACAGCGACTGGTGCTGGCCCCTTGCATCTCGAGGCATGTGGAGCGGACCCTGTGCCCGACATTGGCAGGCATGTCCTCGTCCTGCCGTCAAACTTTTTGATGTCTTGCATCTCGGTACTGACATTGAGTTTGACAACGACATAGGTGGCGAGTGAGTCGTGGCCATTGGATGCTGGACGGCCAATGCGTCACCTGGCTTCCGCCCAAACCAGCCTAACCAAAGTGGCAGAAGCCTCTAGCAAACGCACGCGATGCACAGCAAATCAACTTTCTTTTCTTGCGTCTCGTCTGTTTGTGTGTGCATGGAGGGGGTTGGTCAGGGCAGGGGTTTGGAGAGAGAGAGAGAGAGAGAGAGAGAGAGAGAGAGAGAGAGAGAGAGAGAGAGAGAGAGAGAGAGAGAGAGAGAGAGAGAGAGAGAGAGAACTTGATGATGATGTGTGTTGCGTTATGGAGGTCGATCTGAAGATAGAAGGGGGTGAATGTCAGACAATTTGAACCATCGGCACAGCAGCATGACCAGCATGTCGGATCGGCAGGCATGGGGACCGCTGATGCTGGGGGTCACCGTGGGGTGTGGGGGGACCTTGCTTGCGCAGCGGTTGTGGCATTGGCTGCGTTGTGGCGTGTGGTGGGAGACGGGCCGGGTAGTAGGCGGTGGTGACGGGGCTGCTGGGGAGGCAGGTGTGGTGGCACCGCCAATGGTCACGGGCCTGGCGGGGTTGATTGGCCGGACGCCGCTCGTGGAAGCGACAGCGCTATCGAAGCGCACCGGTTGCCGCATTCTCTTGAAGATGGAAGCGATGAATCCAGGCGGCTCCAGCAAAGACCGAATTGCTCTGAACATTATTGAGACAGCGGAGCGCGATGGTTGGCTCAAGCCAGGCGGGACGGTGATTGAGGGGACGGCCGGCTCAACGGGCATCAGTTTGGCGCTGCTGGCGCGTGCCCGAGGCTATCGCTGCATCATCGTCATGGCCGACGACATGGCCATGGAAAAGGAGATTCTGCTGCGAACGCTGGGCGCAGAGGTTCACCGTGTCAAGGCGGTTTCCTTTGTCAACAACCAGCACTTTTGTCGCGTGGCCGAAGCTCTGGCAACCGAGATCCCGGGCGGATTCTACGTCAATCAATTTGAAAATGCCGCCAATTTCTTGGCCCACTATCATCATACTGGGCCTGAAATCTGGGCTCAGACGAGTGGCGTCATCGACGCCTTTGTCATGGGTGCCGGAACTGGTGGTACCCTGGCCGGGGTAGGCACTTTTCTCAAGGAACAGAGTTCCGACATCCACGTCGTGTTGGCCGATCCCCCCGGCTCAGCCCTGTATCGAAAAGGTGCGTCTTGCTTGAAGCGTGCAACTTTGCCCTTGCTCGGCTCTGCCTCAACTCATTGGCCGATGCGCAGTGAAAAACGGAGTCATTTATACGTCCCAGCAGGCGGAGCAGCGCCTGCAGCGCAATCGTTATGACACCATTCTGGAGGGCGTGGGCATCGACCGTCTCACTCGCAACTTTGCGCTGGGGCAAGCGGCAGTGGATGATGCATACCAGGTGACGGATGCTGAATCGGTCACCATGGCTTATTGGCTGCTAGCCCACGAGGGTCTGTTTATTGGCTCCAGCTCTGCGCTCAATTTGGTGGCAGCCGTTAAACTGGCACGCACGCTTCCGGCCGGCAGCACCATTGTCACCTGCATCTGCGATCAAGGCAACCGAGGCATGTCGAAGGTGTACAATGATGCGTTTCTCGAGTCCAAAGACCTTCTCGCGGCCGCTCAACACGCCGACATTGCAACTGGATGCCTGGATTTTGTGTGCTAGCATGTCTATGCCATATGGAGCACTCCCCCGTTCCACCTTTGCATGCATCAGATAACTAGGGGAGCCTTGTGTTTTATGTGTAAACCTCGTTGGCCAGGTCCATTAAGAGGCTTTATGAAGGCGCCACGCGCCGCAATTGAGAATCGAGAGAGGCAGAGGCCGCAACTGAAGTCACGCGCAGCCGAGTGCAATCAATCACTATGGGCCGCACATAGAGAGGAGGCGACAGGCCCTCGACCTCGACCTCCCCCTTGGACTCCTTCAAGCAATGTTTCCCCCGCCCCCACCCCTTTCCCATTGCCCCAACAGCCGCTGCCGTGCAGAGTTATCTTCCTGCTGCCCTGCTGCGGCGCTCACGTCCCATCGAGCAGCTGCCGACGCTTTCGGACTGCGTCGTTCCCAATTGTCTGACAACACAAGTTATTGTAGACCATTAACAAGCTTTTGCTGACTGATAAACTGTTTAAGTGTAAGTTAGTGTAGTAAAAAGTAGAGTTTGTGTTGTTTATTCTTTTTCCTCAGTTTTCGGAGGTGATGACTCGAGCCGGGGTGCCCGGTCCGGCTGACTCGAGGGCAGCTGTGAAGTTCATTTGCAGTCCTGCCTGAGCGTGTTGTCGGTGTTGTCGTTGTTGTTGGTGGGAGCCCATCGGCAAGCTTTGGCAGTGTTATCTGAGCTTGAGATCGGGGCCGTGGCGGGACATTGCACTCGTGTAGATTACGACCATTCTTATGGCTAGTTCAGGAACAAATCCAGCCTCCGAGCCAGCAACACAGGATCAGGGCAGTTATGGCCAGGAGGCACGGTCGCTGGCCAGCGGGGCCAGCATAACCTCGGTGACGCGACATTCAGCCAACATCACTGCCCTGCTGGAGAAAATGTCCAGCGTGCTGCCTGGCCGCGCAAGTGAAGACCTGGCCTCACCTGCCGCCGACTGCGCCGACCCGTCCACCAACTCGACCCTTTCTGAAGACATCGATTTGAACATGGACGACATGAAGGAGCTTCTCTCGCTCCTCACAACTGTGGTTGAGAATGGTGGCTCTCGGAGCACGGCCGCCTTTCCTGCCCTCCTGGAGGAGCCCGAAGCCAATAATGTCTTTGCGTCGGAAGGGGCATCGTCCACCGAAGAACTGCCTACGCGGCAGCCCAGTCCCCAGCGAGGTGGCAATGCCTTTGGCACCTCTGTGCTGCAGCGCCTTCATCACGTTCAAGTCTCTTCGCTCAACTTTAATCGCGCCAAGTTGCAATGGGAGTACCCGCCGACCACCCTTTTGCTTCTCAAGAAACGCGGGGATCACAGCGTGACGGAATGGTTTGAAGCCGTGGCCGCCTATCTTGTCGAGCGCTACCCACACTGTATCATCTTCTTCCCACCCCAGCTATTCAAGGAGGACATTGCCGCTCTCAAAACCTCCAAACACTTTCAGGCCGTGTTTCGCCACCTCAAGACCTGGCCCGTCGATCAGCCCTTTACTGAAGTGGCTGCCAAGCAGAAGTTTGATCTCTGCATTTGCCTCGGTGGTGATGGCACACTCCTGCACCTGACGTCGATGTTCCAGCACGAAGTTCCGCCCGTTTTGTGTTTCAATCTCGGCAGCCTGGGGTTTCTCACGCCCTTTGACATTGCCGACTATAAAAGCGTCATCGACCAGGCCATGGGCGGAGACATGCCAATCAGCATCCGCATGCGCTTGCAATGCAAGGTCACACCTTCACCCGCCCGGTCGGAGAAGCGGCCGTCGCGCTACGACGTTATGCTGCAGGAGGCCGGGTTCATTGCACAGACACCCAGCCTGACCTGGACCCTGTTGAATGAGGTGACCATCGATCGTGGGCCTTCACCCTATCTCACCAAGCTCGAGGTCTATGTGGATGGTGAGCCCGTGACAACGATTCAGGGTAAGACGAAGACACACCGGATGACCTGTGCCTGTGTGCCTGTCTACCTGTGTGCCTGTGTGTGTGTGTGTGTGTGTGTGTGTGTCCCTCGGTGAAGAAATGCAGATTTTCTGATGCCCTGCCTTGTGCAATAGGCGACGGCTTGATCGTGGCCACACCCACGGGGAGCACGGCCTACTCGGCGGCCGCCGGTGGCTCCATGGTGCACCCAGCCGTGGCATGCATCCTTTTGACGCCCGTCTGTCCACACAATGTTACATCGCGACCGATTGTTGTACCTGCCAGCGCCGAGATTGAGGTAAATTTGTTTAGTCGTGAACACATGGGGGGTTCCTCGGCAGCCGCAACGCTTGACTCGTCGTAGGTCTCGCATTTGCTAATGCTTCTCCTTAATTTCTTGTTCCCGCGCACAGATTGTGGTCCCCAGCGATGCTCGAAGCCCAGCCTTTGCCGCGTTTGATGGACGCAACCGACTCAAACTTGATGTGAACGACCGCCTAACGGTCAAGTTTTCACCCTGGCCGGTACGTTACACAAGAAAAAAATCAAGATTTTCCCTTTGAACCGCGGGTGGTCATAAAGCGGAACGTGTTGTTACTGTTGGAGTTTTTTTTTTTTTTCTTCTACTCGAACCCAGAACTCAAACTGGTCCTGACTGGTCGGTCCATTAGGTACCCACCATTACGCGCTCGCGCGCCGAATGGTTTGGCTCTTTGTCGTCTTGCTTGGGCTGGAATCACCGAACTCGGCAGGGTGGTCCGTTGGCGACTGACGGGCCACAGTGAGCGTTGGTGGGCGGGGCAGGATCTTGTCCAGCTTAGCCACGTGCTGGAGCCTAGTTTGGTGTTGTGTCGCTTAAGCTGCCAAGCAGCACGGACCCACGCGCAGAATCTGTTTCCTGGGCACTATCGGGAACGGGAATGCCACGACTAGAGGAAGGAAGGAAGAAAAGAAGCGTCAGGTTTGACTTAAAGAAGTACCTTTTGGTAGACTGCCGATTTCAAGCCAGTTGATTGCCCAAACTATGATTCTTTTCTCAACAGTGCGTGTTGGCCAGCACACAGTTGACATTAACTTGATAAACAAAGCGGCGCCCATCTCTCGCTTTCGACGTCGCGAGGCATGTTGGCTCGAACTTGTCAAACTACATTCAACTGGACCCTCATGCTCCCCCCCTAAAAAAAAACGCACTCCCTCAAACACACACATGTCAGGAGGAGTGGCATGTTCTCATAGGCACACTCACACACACACGCACACACACATGTTTCTCTCAAATCTCTGTCTCTGTCTCTGTCTCTGTCTCTGTCTCTGTCTCTGTCTCTGTCTCTGTCTCTGTCTCTGTCTCTGTCTCTGTCTCTGTCTCTGTCTCTGTCTCTGTCTCTGTCTCTGTCTCTGTCTCTGTCTCTGTCTCTGTCTCTGTCTCTGTCTCTGTCTCTGTCTCTGTCTCTGTCTCTGTCTCTGTCTCTGTCTCTGTCTCTGTCTCTGTCTCTGTCTCTGTCTCTGTCTCTGTCTCTGTCTCTGTCTCTGTCTCTGTCTCTGTCTCTGTCTCTGTCTCTGTCTCTGTCTCTGTCTCTGTCTCTGTCTCTGTCTCTGTCTCTGTCTCTGTCTCTCTGTTTGTTGTAAATTCTTTGTTGCGACCTCGAGTGTGACCGGAGGTTGGTGGGTGTCGCTGGTGCTGGTGCTGGTGCTGGTGCTGGTGCTGGTGCTGGTGCTGGTGCTGGTGCTGGTGCTGGCTTCGTGTGAGCCGTTGTGTCGTGGGTGGGATAAGGGTTCAAGTTGATGGATGGGTGGCGGGATCGGGCTTTTGGGGAGCCTGTTGATCGCGTAATCATCGTGGTCTGATCATGGTTTGCTCGCGCAGTTTAGCAAGCAGATCCGGCCTTTGACCAACGTCTCGTTCCGCGCTGTGTCATTCCGGCAACGACTCGCCATGGAGAAGAACGCTAACGTCTTCGTCCCGGACGGGGACTCAAATGCCGAGGCACCCTTCAAGAACAGAAATGCCAACGACGAGGCACCACCACCCCCCAAGTTTGGATGCACGGTTGTCTTTGGGTTCTATGTTCGCCTCGCTTGCTACCTTTTGGTCGCCCTGGCCGCCGCAATCGCCGCGGGCACCTTCCAGACCGGCCGCAAGTGAGTATGCTCAAACTGTCGCAGCGCCTTTGTAGTTGTGCATGGCGACGGCAATAGGGCTCACCCTGGCCCCGATGCTCATTGTGATAGGCATGGCAAGCATGCTCAAACA